CCTGCCTCTGCCTCCCAAGTGCTGGGATTAAAGGCGTGCGCCACCACCGCCCGGCCGTAATTTTTTTTTTTTTAAAGAAAGGGCTGGAGAGACAGCTCAGCAGTTAAGAGTACTGGCTGCTGCTGAATCAACCCAGGTTAGATTCCCAGCACTAACATGGCAGCTCACAACCATCTGTAACTCAAGTCCTAGGGGATCCCGTGTTCTCTGTTGGCCTCCATGGGCACCAGGCACGCCTGTGGTGCACAGACATACATGTAAGCCCAAACACCCACACATATAAAATAAACAACAATAATAAATTTGAAAGAAAGGTAGGGTGTGGTGGCATACCCTGGCAAGTCACTTGAGAGGCCAAAGACCAGTAGCTCAAGGCCAGCCTCAGCCCCATTCTAAAGTTGAAGCCAGCCTGGGCTACATGGGACTCCAAATCAAATACCAAAAAACAAAAGCCAACAAAAGTTTAAAAAAAAAAAAAAAAAGTGAGGGCTGGAGAGACGGCTCAGCAGTTAAGAGCACTTGTTGCTCTTCCAGAGGACCCAGGTTCAGTTCCCAGGACCCACACCATGGCTCACAATCATCCATAACTACAGTTCTAGGGAATCCAATGCCCTCTTCTGAGCTCCGTGGGTACCGGGTGCACACACACATTATACAGATATACATGCAGGGAAAACACCCATAAATAGAAAAAAAAATTAAAATATATGAATCTAAAATAATTCTTTTAAATTAAAAAAAAAAGTATTGTGAATCTGATTCGGCGTGTGTTTGCCATGCCACCGCTCACCAAGGAAAGCCAGACTCAGAAGTACGAGAATCACTCCACCCCGTGAAAGCAGAGGATAAACAAACCCACGCCTGTTCGCACTCGCGTACGTATGGCTGGTGAGGCTGTGCGCGACCATGAACAGGGGAGAGAGGGAAGAGCACACAAAAAGGAGGAAACTGGCGGTGTTGGCTCTCTACATCCAGACAGTAACACACATTCATGTAAATCATCTAACATATACACCAGTGTAAACCCTCAGTCCTAGAGAAGTTTCGTTGGTTTATTGAGGAAAATACAATAGAACTAAACACCAGCTAGCCCGAGCGCCTCAAACCTCTAAGGACAAGACTCCATCAGCGCTCAACCTCATGGTCCTCTGCAGTTCCCTAGCCCACTGAGGTAGCCAGACCAGCAGACTGGACACCCTCTGACGCTTGGCAGAGACTCGGAACCCCACCTGGACCTTCTGCATCAGAGTCTCCATGTAACTGTTTCTCCCTGAAGACCGAGATGCTTTCTCTGTTCCTTCTGGGGTGTGGGCAGTTTACCCTCCCCCAAACCAGCTGAAGTCTTCGTATAAACTCAGGGATCTACTGTCCACTGTCCTGGGGACAGAGAAGTTCTCCTGATACCTGGCAATGCCTGAGGCCCGCATTGAAGTCTAAAGGTCCTGGAATCCCGAGGGACCCCCACTGCCCCTCTCACATCCCCGCCACCAGGTCCCCCCAGCTCTCCTTGCCCTGCCTCTGGCATCCCGTTCCCCAAGTTCCAACTTACTGAAGGTAGCAGAACCTTGAGCTGAGAAGGCTGAGTTGCCTTGGAGATGAGGGCGGGCTTAACTACAGGGAAGCCAGGTCACCCCAGGAGGTAGGAGGAGTTGGGGGGAGTCTCCCCCATCCCTTTGTCCTCCTCCAGCTGCTCCCACAATGCTCTAGGGCAGGAATGTAAGAGGCAGCTGAGACCCCCCATCACTGAAGTAGCAGCTGAGGGGGCTGACTGGGTTGCCAGAGGCCACTTGGCTATCGAAGGAGAGCCTAGAACCAAAAGGCACCATGACCAGCCCCTTGAGGGTACAGCCCCACGGTGCAGGGGAGCAGGGACCGAGAAGTCTGGCAGGGAATTCCTGGGTGCCACTCTCCACCCCCACCTCTGTAGAAACAGCAGGGCCCTTGTTCCCCTGAGTAACCTTCATGCCTATCCCAGATGAGTCATCAGAGCCAGACAGTGCCGAGAGGAGCCTGGGGCAGAGATACAAAGCCAGGCGGGGACAGGAGGCAGGGGGAGACAGAGCAGAAACACAAAGCTGGAGGTAAATAGAGCAGACTCTGAGAGCAGGGCACCGGGCCAGGCGGAGGAGCTGCAGAAGCATGCTGACAAGGTCCAGGGCAATCCCTTTCTCATCGTCCTTAGGTCTGGATTCCCACTATCAGATCGGCTGAGGAGTTCCAGCTCAGCGGCACCCTACCTGGCCTTTCTTCAACCAATTACAGGACACTCTGCCTCAGGCCCTTCATTCTCCTCTCCTAAACCCCATCTCCAAATCCAGAGAACTACACCCACACAGCTCTATACACATACACAGAGATGGGGTGAGACTTAACAAGCCCACTGTAAACACTAGAGTAAACGAAATGTACCATGCTCACACCTCTGGGTGCCTTACAGCCTCATATATATATATATATACATTTTCTTTCTTCTTTTTAACTTCTGGTCCCCTTGCCTCTTCAGCATATTCTACTGGCCTATGTGCCACCAAGACCAGCTCATACACAATTCTTACCCACTCCATACACACCTTGAAATCTTTTGTTGTGTGTGTGTGTTTGATTTATGTTTTTGAGGTGGAGGGGGGTTGGTTGGTTGGTTGGTTGGATGGAGGGAGGGATTTTTGTTGCTTTTTAGACAGGGTATCACTATAGAGCCTTGGTGGGCCTCGAACTAGCTATGTAGACCAGGCTGCCTTTGAATCCATGGGGAGCCACCTGCCTCTCTCTCCTGAGTGTGCTGGGATTAAAGACATGTTCCACTACAGCCAAATGACTGATTGGTTTTTTGAGACAAGGTCTCAAGTAGTTCAAGCCTCCAAACTCACGACGATGCCAGGGAAGGCTGACCTTTAACTCTTGATCCTGCTGCCTCCCTCCACCTCTCACGGGATTACAGGTGTGTGCCACACACCCCGAGGTAATCTATCAAGTCAGATCTCACCGTTTAGTGAGCTGCCACCTTTAGACACCTGTGAATACTAAATGCCAGACACATGCTGCTGCGACATCACATCAGAAGACAACGTGAAATCAACTCAGGCCCTGGGGTCCGGGATCCCCAGAGAACTGCCCCTCCCAAACACACATGGGTGACTAAGCCAAGAGCAGGTGGGGACAGGTGGAGCCAGGGTGGGAAAAGGAGCAAGAAGAACAAGTCCATTTCTCACTCATGCGCTCTACTGTGACCTGTTCCTACAGTGCCACTGGGGTCTGGACACACCTCCATCCTTCTCAGCCAGTCTGTTCCAGGCCAGCCGGGCGGGCGGTGGCTGGGAGAAGGGGTGCTGGACAGGAATGCCCGGCCAGAAGGGGACCCTGGGAGCGTTGCTCATTGGGCGGTGACTTCGTCTCTTGGCACCACCCGGCAACCACCGAGCGTGGCTGGTCTGGTAGGTTGGGCGTCAGGCTGGCTCCCTCTGGCCGGGGCAGCTTAACAGAGCATGCTCGTAGGCATGGCACAGGGAACACCGACAGGATGACTCAGTGGGCTGCATATGCGCACCTGTCCTCTTGGGGCTCGGTTCTCCCCTCACCCAGGAAAAGAGAGATCCTTCCCTGCGAGAAAATACTTCCTCGGAGAGTCAGGGCCCTCTCTGTTTCGGATAGAGAATCAAAACCCCGGGGCGGTGGGCAGAGCTGGGGCTCCCCAACCCGCGCCCCCTGCCTCCTGCGCGTCCCCACCTCGCTCCCTACCTCTCATCGCTCTCCGGGGCCGACTCAGGCGTCCGGCCCCGACTTGGGGCCTCCTCGGCGGCAGGGCGCGGGAGGGGAGCGCAGGCGCCGGCGGGGCTCGGGTGTCGGGAGGCGGCTCCCGCGAGCAGCTGTCGGGGGCCTGTTCCGGGGAGAGGAGCCAGCGCGGGGCCGGATCGCGTCCAGGCGCCGCCTCCCCGCGCCCGTCCCCCGCCCGTCCTCCCGCCCCGGCGCCCGCGCTCCCACGCCCGGCGCCGCCCCTCGTTTCTCTCCTAGCGCGGAGCCCGCCCCGCATGTGCCCCTGCGCGCGTAGCCTCCCCTAGGTGATCCGCACGCCCATCCCCCGCCGCCCCGAGGCTGGGGTACAGCAGCACCAGCAGGGGCCCGGCTACAGCCCGCCCAGGACCCCCACGCGGTGGCCCCGCGAGGAGATGGCGCGTTCCCTCCTCCCCTTTTTCTGGGCTCGGTTCCTGGAGAGAGGGAGAGAGGCACGGAGGAGCAGCCCCAGGGCACGCAGGAAGCAGCGGGTTCCCACAGGCCCAGCACGGGAGCGAGAGCCGGAGCCCGGCTGGGGGAAGGGAGCCGGGTTCACCTGTCTACCCAGACCCGCTTGGTTCTCACCCTACCCCACTTTGCTACCTTTTGGCACCCCCGCCCCACGGCTCCCAACCTAGATTACCCCGGAGCCTGAGGGCGGGCCACACTCTTTTAGTCTCCACTTCTCTCTGTCCCCTTCTTCCAGACCCTCTCCCCAGCTCTGCAGCTCCCTCCTGTTCTCCCAGGAGCCCTGAGGTCCAGACTCCCAGGCTCTGGGTCCCCCTGGGCTCCCTGCTCCATCCAGGCTCGCTCTGGAGTCCTCCTCAGGCAAGCCTTCCTCAGTTCCCAGCCAGCTCAGTCCCTGGTGGGAGCCACGGAGTCTGGTTTCTGGCAAGGAGAGGCGCAAAATGGAGCCAAGTCGAGGTGGGGGTGGAGGAGAAAGATAGGCGCCCTGAAAATCACATGCTGCCCAAAAAGACAGGAACGCAAGACCCAAGGATGCAAGAAAACAATGAACAGAGAGCTGCTGAGCCTCGGAAGGGAGAGATGGGGGGCGGGAGAGGGTGGCAGAGCTTGTGTAGGAGGTGTTCTGTCCCCATTCAGCACCACCTGTCAGTCCTACCTCTCTCCGCACCCCACACCTGCCAAGTCCCCGAATGATGTCAGGTCACAGTACAGTCTCCAGAAACCTTGCCGGTCTTACCACCCTGTTGCGCCTCTCAACTGACTGAAAACTCACACCCAAAAGCATTTCCAAAGAGTCTCAAGAAAAAACAGACAAGAACAGAAAAGGCTACCAGGAAGATAAGCGGCCGCTCGGGAGAGAGGCCAAGGCAGGCTGAGTCTCCAGTTTACACACCCAGGGACGCCCCAGCTGCTGAAAGACCTGCTAATAGCTCCCTTGGTCACTGGGAGAACTGCCTCCGGCCTTTCCACCGAGCCCTTAGGGATACCCCCTCCCCAGATTACCTACCCCTCTGCAGGCAGCAATAGGAAATCTGGGCGCTGCAGAGGCTGGGCGGGGTGTGGAGTCCGGCTGGGGGTGGGGCCAAGGCTTCCCAGTAACCTCACCTGCGACGGTAACAGCCCCTCCTCCCAAAGAGACGCTCTGGGGAAGCCCGGGACAGGCGGAGCTTGGGTTCCTCACACCCGGTGGAACCTTGCACGCCCCAGACTCGCGCTGACCAGTGAAGGGTCGGTGGGGGGTGTGGAGGAAGCCTCTGCCCCTTTCTCACTCCCAGGGAAAATTCCTAGTCGGTGATGCCCACCTCGACCCAGACCAGGGCTGGAAAGGCAGCAGGGACTGGGGCCCAGCGGAGTCAAGTGACAGCAGAAAAGGAGCTGGAGCCGGCTGGAATGTGCTGCTTGGAGCCCAGATTCCCAGGGGCCAGAGAGGGAAATCCCAGCCATCCAGGGGCCTACAGAGCTGAGCCAAGAACCGAGTGTGCCATCTGCGGCTCCCCGAATCCACTGCTCCTCTCTCTCACCACCCACATCCCCAGAAGCCCCCACTGTACCCTGGAAGCCGGGGAGGGCTCTAGACTTCTCCCTCTTGCACACTCCCCCATGCTGGACTGATTTTTTTTTTTTTTTTCCTGCAAGCCCAGGAAGAAGAGGGGAAACAGCTGGGGGGAAAATGTGAAGAGAGGCACGCGGGAGAAATCAGAGCTCAGCCCCAGGCCGGCAGACCACCCGCCACTGCAGGGAAGCAGGACAGACCAGTGAGAGGAGAGTGGACCAGATGGGCCCACCCTCACCGCCCCCAACACACACTAGCCACAGTCCCTGCCCTGAGATGCAGCTGCCTCTGGGGAAGCAGGTTGGCTCAGCAGCTGGGGAGAGTGGGAAGCCTCTGGTGTGTGTGTGTGGGAGGGGGGTAGAGCAGGGAGCTGGAAAAGACCCTGGCCTTAGGTCATATTTTAAAGCCACTGAGTCAAATGGGACTGAGGCCTGGAGTATGATGACCAAGGAAGATGTGGCATAAATCTAGGAAAGAAAAATGAGACAGATGAGCCGTGGATAGTCTGGGAGGGAGACCGAGAAGGGATGGAGGAACCAGGAGAGAGAGGTTGGTGGTCACAGAGAGACAATGGTGACAGAACCCAGGAGGAGAGCACACAACTGACTCCAGAGTCAGATGGTACCAAAGGCAGATGGTCCCAAAATGAAAGGTGAGAGATAGAGGGGGGGGGGGGGATTGAATCGGGGAAGCTGATCCCACACAGAAGGAAAACAAATGTTTGGAAGATAACTAGGATGGAGAAAACACAAGAGAGAGGAGGTTGAAATGAAATTAAGATAGGAGAGGGAGGGAGGGAGGGAGGGAGGGAGGGACTGAGGCATGGAGTTTGAAAGAAAGGAAAACAAAAACAAAAACAAGACGCTGCGGGGCAGACTTAAAAAGGAAGGACAATTTCAAGATAGACGGAAGGCCCAGAGATGGAATTAAACCTGCCTCCAGGCTGCCGGCCACCAAGGCCCCGCCCGCTCACTGGTCAACCTGGTTCGGCACAGGGCCTCCATCCTCCTCCCCTCCCACCACGCCTCCAGGCCTACCTGGTCCCTTCTCATAAAGGCAGCCCAGCCCCAAGGTCTGTTCCTGCTCTCCCAGGTGAGCTCTTTCTCTCACCGCCAGGTTCTCCCGAGTTTCAGTGTCCCCAGGCTCAGGCCTTTGGGGATCCAGATCTGAGGCCGATGAAGCCTCCCGGCTTTGTCCAAGCTCCAGCCTCGGGGGCCCAAGAGCAGCTGCCCTGGCCAGCTGCGGCTGGCTTCAAGGTGACCATGGCAACCCAGCCCTGCTCCCCTCGCCGAGCCTCTCAGCCCCCGCAGAGAGGGAGGGGACAGCCTAACGCAGAGAAAGGGAGCGGAGACAGAACTGTGAAACTGGACCAAAGGGGTCTCCTAGACAAAGAGACCCCAGACAAAGAGCCCCCCAGACAAAGGCCGCTGAGGAGGAGGTCCCGCCGAAAGCCGCAGGCGCTGGCTGCAGCCAACGGCTTAGAGCTGAGTTCGCCCTGCTGAGCCGAGGACCAGGCGGGATGTGAGGGCTAAAGTTGGAGGCAGAAAGGTTCGGAACTGACCGAGGGTGGTCCTTTGGGGACCTCCTCTGAGTCCCCAACACTGCACTCCCTTTCCCGGAACTTTGATTTTGTTCCCTGGGAAGAGTCCCAGTTTCTTTTTTTTTTTTTTTTTTTTTTTTTTTTTTTTTTTTTTTTTTTTTTTTTTTTGGTTTATTTTATTTATTATGGATACAGAAGAGGGCACCAGATCTCATTACAGAGGGTTGTGAGCCACCATGTGGTTGCTGGGAATTGAACTGAGGACCTCTGGAAGAGCAGTCAGTGCTCTTAACCTCTGAGCCATCTCTCCAGCCCCGAGTCCCAGTTTCTTAACTGGCTGTTTCTCTAAAGTGTTAGAGAGAGCTCTTCTGTAAAGTGAGATCTCTTCCCCCAGAAGCGCCCAAAGCCAAGGGGCAGCTTCAGTTTTCAGCAGCTGACCTGTCCTATGAAAAAAAAAAAGCATCTTCAGAGGACTCCCTCCCGTCTGTGGTTTGAACCCCAAAGCCAAAGGACATTGACTGATTGGGCAGGCAGGGGGTGGGGCCGGCGGGGGTGGGGCCGGGAGGTGACAACTCCTCGCAGCACGTGAGAGGAAGCCCGGCTCTGCCCTCTGAGCGGTCTGAAATGTTGACTCCCCATCCGCCTTCCCTTGGTAGTGTCTCCACAATGCGGTCCCTCCCACTGGGATGAGGGGCCCTGGAGAGAGTGTGGGTGGTCACTGCCCTGGCATCAGCTTCCTTTGTGGCTTTCTGATGTGTCGCTGCGGATCTCGGAGTCCATCCTCCTAATCCATTTCACAGGGACTTGAAAGACTTTGCACGGGGCAGGACTCCGAGAGAGCTCTGAGAGGTTTGTGAGGAGCGTGCACTCCTCGAGTAGGAGTCACAGAAGGCAGGCTCCATGTGCTGTAGCTAGGGAGGCACGGGAGCCAGGGGAGAGTCAGGAGCGACCTCCCGAGTGGGCTGGGAGGAGACTGAGTGAGGCCTCCGGTCAGAGCGCAACTTCAAGCAGGTCTCGGCGAAGTTAAGGTTTGCAGATGAGGCAAGGCTCCTCCTGGCTGAGGCGGCACCGGGTGTGAAAGGCAGCTTTAACTGGAAGTGTGGTTCCAGGGAGGGACACCAGCGCCACAGCTAGAACTCTCGTTACTAGCGTGGCCCGGCTCTGAAGGAAGAAGGGCCTTGGGCTTGGAGCTGGAAATGTCAGCATTATGTTTGCATTCTTTTCCCTAAGTGGAGCCTCGCAGTTTCTCAGAAATGCAAAGTTCAGGACAATGGTGGAGGGAAGATAGCCCGGTTTTGTCCGGTCCACACTGCCCTGGAGGCTCACCTCCCACCCCTGCCAGGAAAGCAAGGGGTAAACTGGTTTCCGCAAGCGCAGGCGGTGGAAAGCGATACACGTGGTCGGCCCTTCTCCAGCCTTTTCTGTTCTGTGTTGTCTCCTCCAGCCCTGGGAGGAGGGTGGGCAGGGCTCTTCATAAAAACAACCAACCAGGGCCAGAGATGTTGGAACTTGCCCCAGATCCAAGGGAAGTTGACACTTCCCGCTCAGAGTTTCTGGGTTCTTCCATATCACCTTTCCAAAGTGGGGGTGGGGATCTAGCGTGGCTCCCTGGACGCACTCTTGAGCCTCTTGAGTTCCGGGCACTTGGCAAACCTTCGTATTGATACAGACTTTATCAGTCTTCCGTGGATTTCCCAGTGGTAGCAATGAACAAGAAAACCACCGGGGGGCGCTGCCGCGCAGGTGACCTAGGCGGAACGCGGGCGGAGAAAGGCCTCTGGGATGGAGAAGCTGGCAGAGCGGGGGAGGGGAGGGAGGAGCCCCAAGCCACAAATACCGAGGGATGGGTCAGAAAGGCTGAATGTCAGCGCCGGGGGCGCCAGGCTGTTTACATTTGTGCTCCAAAACGCAAACGTCACTTTCTCTCCTGCTGTCATTTGCTAAGGGGCCCTTGGGACCAGCAGCCTGCCTGCCGATGTGCCAGGCCGCTCCCGGCCTTTCCACTTTCTCGGGTTTTATGCACGCAGCAGTTCTATGATGGGGAATTTTTGGTTTTTTTTGAGACAGGGTCTCACGATGTAGCCCTGACTGCCCTGGAACTCGCTATGTAGAGCAGGCTGGCCTAGAACTCAAGATTGGCCTGCTTCTGCCTCCCCAGTGTACCACCATGCGCAGCTGTGATGGAGAATTTTAAAATATGCTCACTCTTGCCAGGCATGGTGGTGCAGGCCTGTAATCTCATCACTAAAGAGAACAAGACAGACAGGAAGACAGAGACAGATTGGTGGTACAGGCATTGGGATCCCAGCTGCTTGAGAGGCAGGATCAAAAGCTCAAGGTCTTCATAAGCTACCCAGTGAGTTCTAGGGGTCAGCTTGCTCTGTGGTATGTAAATGCATCATGGGTGTGCAGTGTCTGTGAAGGCCAGAAGGTAGAGAAAGCCACTACCTCTGCTTTCCTAGGCTGGGATTACAGGCAGGCCACTGCCTGGTATTTATGTGGGTTCTGGTGAACACTGGTTGGTGGTCATACTCCAGGACACATGCTCAACCACGGAGCCACCTTCCTCCCCTCACAATGAATTTGAGGCCATTGTGGGTACATGAGGTGGGACGGGGAGACGGCTCAGCAGTTAGGAGCACATGTTGCTCCTCCAGAGGACCTGGGTTTGTTTCTCAGCATCCGTGTTAGGTGACTCACAAGCACCTATAACTCCAGGTCCTGGAGATCCAACATTCTCTTCTGGCCTCCAAAGTCACTCACATGTACACAGACACATCAATATAAATAAAAATAAGATTTTGAGAAAGAACACTAAGCTGCGTGTGGTGGTGCACACCTTTGATCCCAGGACTCAGGAGGCGGAGGCAGGCGGATCTCTGAGTTCAAGGCCAGCCTGGTCTACAGAGTGAGTTCCTGGACAGCCAGGGCTACACAGAGAAACTTTGCCTTGAAAAGAGAGAGAGAGAGAGAGAGAGAGAGAGAGAGAGAGAGAGAGAGAGAGA